TGAGGAGCTAATTAAGGGGCCAGGATTCATTTTTTTATGATAACTGTCTCCACGAGGGCTCTGCATTCGGTGCTTGCAGAACTAATGAAGGTCAGAGAAGTAACAGCAAAGGAAGAAAGGAAGATTTTTAGCTCTCAGCGTTGTGGTGATGCTAAGCAACAGTCAGGATTTCTGCCTGGGTTTTGGGCCAGGTGCTGAGCGAGCTTCCTTTAATTCCATGGGATGGTCTGCGTAAGCACGACCGCGGCTCTGAGCTGTGCCCACGGCCCACTGCTGCTCCTCACGGCCTTCGCCACTGGTGGGGGAAGGACGAGCTTCGTTTCCACAGGTCAACCCCAAAAGCCCAGCTCCCTCCTGCACACAGAACCAGTTACACGTGCTGCTAGATGTGGCCTGGAGAATGACAGAAATATCACGGTGACGAGGTGCAGGGAGCTGCTTTGCCTGTGGTCCAAGCTGGCCAGACACAGCCGGGCTTCCGGGAGCTGTGTTCGTGTCCTACCGTGCCCCAAAGCTGGGCAGGCATTCTCTGGGGTGGGCACGAGGGCTCCAGGGCAGGGGGCTGCCTCAGAGCAAAGGGGAGAAAAGGACCATGGCTTGGTGAACGGCAAGAGCAAGGGCAAACCCCATCAGCAGCCCCCTTCCTCCCAAGGCAGGTAGGACCCAGCTGGAGAGCATTGGTTCATCCGACTCAAAGGATGAAGTACAGCAACGTCGTGACGTGCAAAACTCAATCCGTCCAGTTACTCGCTCAGCTGTGGAGCTGGGACTCAGCTGATGGGGCCGGGAGCAGAACTTGGGTTCTGCATCAAACTGAAACCCTCACAAATACCTAGCATAGTGCTTTCAAATTAATCCCTCGTAAAATATTAACAACACATAAACATGCATACAAAAGTATGGTCAGATGTTTCTCTGAAGCAACTCGCTGAGTCCCATGACTAAATTTGGACCAGCAAGCCTCGTGCACCAAATAATTAAGTCATAGGCTATAGAAAGCAATCCTCTGGGACGTACTTGTCTTTGAATGGCTCATCCACTTGAAAAGTAATACATACCATTAAGTATATGACCATATGGCATCCATTTATAGAATATTGCACTACAGGCAAATAGGACAAAGGTACACCCCTTAAAGCACTTTTCTCATCTCATTAACTTTGGGTACATGTTACAGAAAAGCTTCCCCGTCTTTGTTGTGTTCAAGGACATTTTGTGCAGTTGAGTCTTGTCTTAAATGAATTGCACTAGGAAAATTAGAATTTAAATGTAGCTGTGCCCTAAAGCAAACAGCATTATTTTGCCATTCTGTAATTCAATTTATTTTTGCAGATCAATGTTTTGAAGCAAACGTGTTCTTTTGTCCTCAAATCTTGCCTAATGACAAAGCTGACTTCGGGTGATTTGGCACACGGCAGTGCTTCGCTGTGGCAGTGTGCCTGACCGGGTTGCTGGCAGGCTCGGGTGGTGCCCTGCCATGTGCTCTGGTCCACCTGAAACACCTCCCCAAAACTGGACAGATTGGCTGGGACAACCTCCGTGCACACCTAGAGAGGTCTTCTTAGAGAAGAACCGCCTGGTGCTCAGGGTGATCAGCACAATTCAGCCTGAAGAAGAGAAGGCTGAGAGGGAACCTCATCAGCAAGTACAAATATCTCAAGGGTGGGTGTCACGAGGACGGAGCCAGACTCTTCTCAGTGGTGCCCAGCGCCAGGACAAGGGGCAATGGGTACAAACTGAGACATAAGAGGTTTCCGTTGAATGTGAGGAAAAACTTCTTGACTTTGAGGGTGACAGAGCACTGGAACCGGCTGCCCAGGGGGGCTGTGGAGTCTCCTTCTCTGGAGATATTCAAAGCCCACCTGGACGAAACCCTGTGTAACATGCTCTGGGTGAGCCTGCTTGAGCAGGAGGTTTGGACTGGGTGAGCTCCTGAGGTCCCTTCCAACCCCGGCCATGCTGTGATTCTGTGATTCTGTAACTCCGTGCCGTGCAGGCGGGTAGGAAACAAGAGTGTGCCAAGCCCCGCTGCTGGGACAATAATCTGCACCAAAAAGCGATTCAGCCTGTAGTACAGCTGACAACAGCCGGGGTTCAAAACTACGGCACGACTGGGCAATGCAAGAGAATCACCCCCATGCCCTCGGGGAGCTGCGGGCGAGCAGGTTCAGTCGGCTGCAAAAGCCCAGCCCCTGTGGTTGGCAGCGGCGCCCGCCCCATTGATCGCAGCAGTTGCTGGATCCAGCTCTAAATCTTATAAAAACAGCGTGCTCCCCTTAAATGAGCTTGCACTGAAGAAATACATTAATTAAATAGGAATGACTGCAGGTGCCTTACAGATTTTTGGCTTAACAGATTTCTCTTGTGCATTGAAGATCAATACTGCTGCCAATTACACCATGGGTCTCTAGCCCCCTTTTTTAGCTTCTTGGAGGGAAAACCACTGCTAAATATCGAAGATCTCCACAAACCTGGCAGTCCAGAGCCCTGGAAATATGGTGTGTAGTGCAGAAACAAGTCCTCAGAGAGCTGTCCCCATTCTGGATCCAGCCAGCGTTTCAGTAAGAGCAGCAGTGCTGACACAGGGCAGTATCTCAAACCCGTGTTACTGCCTCAAACATCTGCATGTGGAGGATCGTTATTGCTTGTGGTTCCCCTCTCCCCCTGCTGAAGAGCCCAGCGGGGACCTTCTGCTCAGGCTGAGAGGCTGAAATCCATACGTGCAATTTGCAGCAGTCACCAACTGCTTAAATTCAATGTCCTGACCTCAGTGATCCGCGCTCCTTCCAAGGGCCCTAATGCATCTGTCTGCCGAGTTCGAAGGCTGAACCTCATCAGCGAATATAGCTGTTCCCATACCGCTGGGCTGAAAAATGGTCATGCCTGGCGGTGCTCAACACGGTCACCTGCTTCCCTGCTTGGAAAGGAGGCAACCATGGTCTAACGAGACCAGAGCAAGCCCTGTGCAGCTTTCATGGGTCCCAGGCAGCCCTGCTGCCCACGAGATCCAGCTCCTTGGGCTCCTTGGGCGGGCAGTGGAGGCAGGACAGGTCCTGTCCTGTCACCTAGGGCCGGCTGTGGCGTGGGAATTGCTGGGTCCTGCTCTCCTGGGGGTGGAGGGGAACAAGGGGACCCCACGTCTCCCACCAGACAGTGGTGGCAGAATGAAGGTGCTGGTGGTGCTGGGTGCCTGGTAAAATGAGCCCTGCCATGGGGAAAGCACGCGGTGGAAACGTGTAAGGGGAGAGCGGGGAAGCGCAGGATTTATTAAAGGTGGTTGAGGAGAGCATGTTAGCATCCAGCATCTTAAGCTTCTAAATATCAAGGGCTTCAGAAGCATTCAGCTGGAAAAGTGCCTCGGATCATTTCAAGGCATGTGCTGTGGCACCGCGGCGTCCCGTAACGCCGTGAGGCCCCCGCTTTGGCAAAACCAAGAGGAATGATTGCGTTGAGTGCTCAGGCCCCAGCAGTAACAGCTGCTTGTTATAAGCAGCATCGCCGTGCTAGCTGTGTTAAACGGAAGATTTTTACTGGCGTAAGACTATAGCAAATTCAGGATGAGAAGCACTCGAAGCATCCGAGAGGGAAAAATGATCCAATTGCACCAGGCAGTCTGAGGCACCGTGTCTCCAGCTCCGTTGAACCTGACAGACGACACGATTTTCTCCTGCCGTAGCGCTGATATCAAACGCTGTCACCCCCCGACCCCGCTCTGCTGCCAGCCCCGGGATGGAGGAGGCTGAGCTCCTCTGGCTCCCAGCACCCATTGGGTGCCTGTCCATTCAAGACATAAGGGGAGTCAGGGCGCTCACTCAACAATCACCCAAAAAACCCCACAATAATTCCTGTTACCCCTCCCCTACGCTTGGCCACTTGTACAGGGAAGACAATAAACAAAGCAGGGAAGTCTCCTAATATTTTTATTGTTCCTTAGATAACTGTGGATAGTACAAAGTTTTCCTCTTAAAAAAAAATGAATTACCTTCACACTTCCATAAACAGGGCTTCCCGTGGGAATCTGATGCCACAGAGTTTCCACAGAAGCGATTTCCAACCACCATAATGCTATGTAGATAGTATAACAGTAAGAGAATATTCTTGTAGTTATCAACATGAAATCGGTTATCTGTGTATCAGGGTGAACACTGATCTTGTTTTTTCTTTTTAGAAACAAAACCATCATTTATTAACCCAAACTACATCAATGCATTTACAACATTCATTGCATAAACTGGACATACAAAGTTTTGCCACCTCTGGTAAATAACAGACATACATTATACAATATATTTGCTGAATACATAAGTTCAAACAATATGGGTACAACAACTTTGTTCATAATACATACTTCAACCATCGTGTTTAATAGTTACTAAGACACAGATCCATGAGCTACTTCGGGTCTCAGCACAGTTAATCTAAGTGACAAGAACACAGTTGAGAGACAGTAGCTGCAATGGAAGGCGAAGAAAACTAACCTGTGATAGGTCTGGTTCAGACAGCGAGAGCTCCTCACGGGTCAGCTTCGTCTGCTTAGAAATACACCTCACGCATCCATCACAGCTGACCGCGATGTCGGGAAAAATGTCCATGCAACCCACACACAGAAGAGAGCGCGTCTCCCAAGGATAAACTTTCAACAGTCATTGCCTTACTGCTTTAGTATGTACTATAGGTTTGCTATCGGAACAGAAACAAAACAAAACCCAAAACGCAAGTGGTTCTTTAAGTGCAGTTCCAGCTGCAAGTACATGGTTATCTGTGAGTCTATAACACCGGGCCAGACTTCTAGAAATGTAGAGGTAATGCTGATCTGACAGGTTTATGCTGAAGAATCCTCCATGACGTTGGTCTTAATTTTGGCAGCTGCTTATATATTTACTCATTTAAAGTGTGTTTCCTTGATATTAGCATTTTTTTTTTTTTAAATTCATTTCTCCCTTTTTTTCCTTTTCTGTTTTTTTTGTTTTTTTCTAAATCAGTTTCTAAACAAGGATGGACTACAACTCGTCAGACCTGATGACGTGGAAGAGGGTGACATTGTAAAGTATTTGGTGCCCGTTGTTCCAGGCATAGAGGGCCCGATCCTTGGGGTTGTAGTCCAACATGGAAATGTGCGAGTACTTGTTTTGGAAGGGGATGTCGATGTACTCGTAGGTGGAGGCATTGGTCTGGTAGGCATAGTGCACCTTGGTACCTCCCGAGTAGCCGTTGGTGACGTAGAGCGTGCCGCAGATGATGAAAGCCTCCCCGGCGCTGCGTTTCGGGTAGCTGGTGTTCCAGGTCTGGAGGCTCTGCAGGGTGTTGGGGTCCAACTTGCTGATGACGATGTTGCCGGCATTCTGGTTGGTGGCGTAGACGGCCCACAGCCCGTTCTCATCCACCATGAGGTCAATGTCCGAGTGGCCACCCCAGGCGTAGTGGTACATGTTGTTGTAGCCGGCATAATCCAGGCTGCGAGTCTTGAGAATGGTCTCTGTTTTCAAGTCAAACCTGATAATTATGTGGCTTTGGTATTTATTGAAATAGATAGAGCCATTGTAGACCACTTGACCAGTGCCCGACCATGGGTGAGGGAGACGGTGGGAGGTAAAATTGTCAGTATTCATGAAATCTGCCATGGATTTATATTCACGGACGAAGCGGTTGTTGTGGTAGCTGTCCATGTACCAGACCTGGGTGAGCAACAGAAACACATGGGGTTAGAAAACAGCAGAGACTCGGCTGAGCCCTTTGCACATCACCCTAGAAACTGAGCCGGGAGCGAAATCCGGAGCAAGGAATCCAACCCGCTGGAAAATGACGTGTCCAACGCCCGCCACTTACGCCCAGAAATAAACCCCATTTGTGGAACCCCAAATCAGCCAAGAAAGCAACTGAATAGCAAAGCTTTCCTGGGGGGTAACCTGGTATCTCCCCAGGACCATGGGAGCTGAAGCGGTTCCCTGGGAGCGCTGTGTGATGGACGCTGCCCTTCCGGAGGGCAATTAGCATCTTTTCTCTGGCTAAACCCAGCAGATTACGTTGATACTGCTTTTGCTTCCCATAAAGCCCCATCGTGGTAGCGCTCAGTAAATGATCCCAGCTGCTGGGCAGAACTCCATTAATTCAGCATGCAGAAACGATGGATGCGATCGCTTGTTGCGAAGGAAGTTCAGGCAAAGTCCATATTGGTTTAAAAATCATACAGTTCTGCATCAAAAGCTGAAACCAAGGCTGCTAAAATCTAAGAGACAAAGGCATCAAAATCTTTGCTATCGGTGGATGGGGGAGAGATTTTAGATCATCGTTTAAGTGCCAGTTCACTAGGGACACTGTCTAGACTCCTTAAAAAAAAACCAAACAACTGTTGTCATATGAAACCAATTCTGAGGCAAATGACAAAGCTGTGCAGTTAATATCAAGAAGAAAAATCCAGCCAGTGATTTTCTGCATGCAGCTGCTTTCTGGAGAAACTGTTTAGGAAGGAGAAAAAGTAAATTAAATAGCAAGAAGGAAGCCTCTAAGGATGCAGATTTGGGTAATGTTGTAGCGCAAACTTCTTTTGCAACCCCCTTGAAGAATCTGGTGGCACCGTCCCTGCCATACAGCTGTCTCCAGGGCCCCTTAGAAGAGCAGACAAACATTTACACACGGCACGTGCATGCCAACTGCTTTTGGCTGCTGGATTTGAAAGGCCAAGTGGGGTCTGCAAAACCTTTGTAGGGCACTTCAGCTCTCCGGCGTTACCTCCCGGGAAACACTTCAGGGGTGGGGAACAAATGGGTGGCAAACGGCTCCGACCTTCCCACCTCCACTGTGGGCTTGAGGATGGCTGCAAAGAGCACCAGGGAAAATCCACACACGGCCCTGAGCCCACGGCAGAGAAGTGCCCGCAGCCTGGGAGAGCTTCTGCTGCCAGCCACGGTGCTGGAGAGCATTCCTCGCTTAATGAAATGCTTGCCTTCAACTCAACCAGCTTGGGAAATTACCAAAAAAAATCAAACCCCAACCCAAAAAACTGATTGCCTCTCCGCTGCTCCCGTTTCATTATTTGGTATTAAAAAATTACACGTGGCAATGCGTTGTGCTCAGTTTTTAGAGGGACAAAGAGCAGAACCCCATGTCATCAGGCAAGGTGGGGGACCCAACAGCGTTTCATGCTTTGGAGAAGCAGAGATTGATGGATAGCAACGTCTCATTGCACCGGCTGGCTTTGAGCAACCTTCTCCTGCCAATAGACATCAACCCCAGCGCTCAGCATCCATCTGCTGCCTCGCCGCTGGGCTACTCCTGCAGGACTTGCAATCTTCCCCAGTTGTGTTCAACGATTTGGTGACGTGAACAAATGACCACACGAACACCAAGCACCTCCTGGGGCCTGGCAACGTAAGGTGGATATGAGAAACTGCCCATCTCTCCCCATCCCCAGCTTCCCACTCTGCTGGGCAGGCAAGGAAGTTCACTTAATTGTGTGTTTCTAATTAAACTCACAGCAGATCTATACATTATATACACATACACGCTTGTGAAGCTTGAGCTACGGTCCAGAAAAAACTGCTTGTCTACTCTCGTGACAAAAATACACTGTAGGAAAAGACATGGGGGAAAAAAAAAATATTAAAAAACACTGGTTTGAGACAAAACTCTCTGAAGACATGGAAAGATCTTCAGCATTTGATCAACCAGCTCCAGCTGCAACAGGCCTGACTCTTCCTACACAGATGTATAAATCACATTAGTGCTGAGGGATGCAGCAGACACAGCCTGAAGGGCACAACTCCATCCCCTCTCTTGAGCAAAACAAGATGTGATGTGGGTCAAGTCTTCCCATCTCACTTCATCATTAGGATCTTACCAGGTACAGGTGAAATTTTGTTTAATAACTGTAACATATGGAGGTGTCGTATTGGGAAACCAGTGCCAACCAGTTGGCTGCTGGAGGGAAAGCGCCTGACATCTCAAGTCACTGCTGCTTTGTTGTTGGCCATCCGTGGGCAAAAGGAGCCACCCCAGGGGTGGCTTCTCCAGAGCAGCCCTTGTCCCTCTTAGCTACAGAAAGCTGCTTGCAGGGCAGAGCTCTCAAAATAGCTGCCCTGATACAGCCTGAGCTGGTGCCTTCATCCTTTGATGAAGGATGCGGCATGCAGGAGGGAATTACCATGCAGCCAAGCTCTGTGGTTTTTGTTTTGTTTTGCTGCCTGCAAATCCTCAACAAACACTTGAGATATTTTCCATTCCATCAGTCATGGGAAGCCTGGATTGATTTTCAGCCAGTTATTGGCCTCCTACCTCCTTGGGATCAAAATTGAATGGTCTGAATGGGGAAAAAAAAAAAAAAAAAAGACCAAAACAAAGCAAAACAAATCTCTCTCTGGCTGCAGTCAGTTAATTCCTCACAACAATGAAGGTGGAGGACGAAGGACAAATGCAGTCAGATGACATTATCGGAGGTGCTGGCAGCAGAAGAGCAGCAGGGACCAGGATCACGGGTCCCTCTGCTCGGCCCCAGCTCCCTCCTGGCTGCCAAACCCAGACGAGAAACCCAATATTTGATTTTTCCCTCCTGCAGGGGGCACAGACCTCATGGTGACACTTCCGAGACCATGCATGCTCATCACTGCAGTGAGTTTCACCTGCCCTGGGAAGGGACCAAGTGCGGGGCTGCTCAGCTCCCTCCCCGTGGGATGCTCAGCACCCCACCCCCCCCACTGCAGAGGAGGCCCGCAGAGCCCCGTGAGATGAATTAGGACCTTCCACAGGGCACAACCCAGGCTTCGGTGCTTGGATGCAATGAGTTTTCAGTGATCTCAGCCGTGCCGGTGGAGGTGGGAACGCAGGGATGAAGCTGTCGCGGTCTTACCTTGTTCTCTCCCTCGGGAGCGAGAGGGTCCGTCATCCACGATCCGAACCTGGACCCCGAGGTTTTAATTGTGATTGGGTCACTTATTCCTGTCAGCTTGCCACAAGCTGAAAAAGAGTGCAAGGCTGGTGAGCACCACGTCAGACCATGGCCCAGGCTTGCTGGGCGGTTGGGTCTTTGCCAGCCAGCCCCGAAGCCCCAGTGAGGGCCACCGGCACCGGCCACCACCCACACCGCCCACTGCTCTCCCCCCACTGATGGACGGCTCTGGTTTTATTTAATTAGAGGTAATTAGGCCAAGAACAACTGTTGGATGCTTTTGATTGTTTCATGCCTCTTAATACCCATCGTCCCTACCACACTGCCCCCAGGAAAACAAGCCTTCGCGAGCCAGCCCTGCTGCTAATGTCGCAGCGTAGAAAATGGGAAGAGCTGGCCAGGGTCAAGCAGCCAGGTAGAGAAATTAGCTGAATGGCTCTGCTCATTTCTGCTGTAATAGAGTGGGGGCAGCCAAGATAAAAAGAGAGCCGCGTCCATTCCAGCCCTGCTGGAAACATGCATTTGTTACAGGTTATGCAAAGGAGGAAAGAAAAAAAAAAAAAAGTGGGAAATTATATTCAATATCAATCTCTTCCCTGCAAAGACCATTTGCTGGCTTCTACCAGCCACCTTCTCTGCTCCCTATCATGTCTGCACACTTAGGAGACAGTAAGGAATTCACCAGCCTCCTCCCATCTTCTCTGCCAGCCTGGGCTTTGCCAGCGCTGGGAGAGGAACCCAAATGCAGCGGGATGGGAGGCAGGAGGTGGGGTGTCCCACGGGCCCCTCGGGAGCTGCCCCGGGCATCCTGCCCAGACTCAGCAGCATCACAACAGGGACGTGCACCCGCATAGTGCTGTGAGCCAGGTTTTGAAGCATATTTAGGTACTCCACACTGTTGATTTCATGCCACTGAATTCAGTGGGCTTGTCAGCACATTTGCCAGCCCAGCTAAGTGCCTGGCTGTGTTTTTAAGCCCTAAACACAAGGTGAAGCAGTGGCAACTCTCCCCCCAACTCACTGCACCAGCAGCTTGTTCCCCTTCCATGGTTCTGGCCCCCTGACACCGAACCCAGCATCCCTCCGGGGACCCCCACAAATAGATGCCTGCAATGCTACAGCCTCAGCATCGAAGGTGCAGCCACATGCTGAGTCCCTGTTTCCAATGACATCCCCAAATTTCAGCAAAGCTGCCATTCTGGTCTCCTGTAAGGGCAGCGTTTTAGCATACGTGCCCTAAGGAACGACAGGCGAAGAGACAAAGATGCCGCAGGAGGGACTGGGGGCCGGTGTTGGATGGTCTGTCGCTACGGGAGCACTCATTTAAAACCCAGACACATTCACTGGACCTGCAGCAGCATCTCCTGAGCAAGGCTTGGTCAGCGGCACTAGGGGAACAGCTGCAACCTGAAGTTCAGAAGGTGTCTCCTGACCTCTCCTTTTCGATGTGGAAGCCTCTGGCAGGGTGGGGAAGGGGAAGGTGGCGGTGCTGGGATGGAGCGGCGGCCCGGGTGCTGGGTTTGCAGGCTGAGCTGCAGCTGCACTGCAGTACGAATGGCTCCGCTGCTCGGTGTGGGGTACCCGGGGCTGAGGCCGCAGGTGGGAGCCTGTGGAGGTGCTGCTGAAACACGTATGGAGCTCTGCCAGCTTAGGACAAAGTCCTTCTGCTTAGACTTACCAAGCAGAATCACAGAATGGTTTGGGCTAGAAAGCACCATTAAAGGCCATCTAGTCCAACCCCCCTGCAAAGAGCAGGGACATCTTCAACTCCATCAGGTTGCTCAGAGCCCTGTCCAACCTGACCGCGAATGTTTTCAGTACGTGCACTCTGAAATATCTCTCAGCTGCCTCTCTCCTTAGCCTGTTCTCATCTGCCCCTTTATATTCCTGATTACAGCCACAGGACACATCCACCTACCTCAGCTCTGAGCTGCGGGCAACGGGACATAAAATAGATGAAGAGATTCTTGGTATGCGCCAGCATGACATGGCCAAGGGGACCATGAGTCTTCCCACCATAGATAACGATAAAGAGAGATCCCACCAAAAAGCAGCGAGCCTTCGTGGCCTCACTGAGACACAGTATAAAGGAATTTGTCCTCCTGCCTGTCTGACGGATTCAAAACCTCTCAGCTCAGGAGGAGAGCAAGGTATTGACAAAGGGATGCAACGGGTTAAAATAATAAATGCTTAATGGCTTGCAAATTCCCCTTGCAGAGGACCAGCCTTCCTCTAATCACAGATCTGCTCAACGCTGCCTTCCATTATCACAGCCCTACAGTGCTGTCACTTTATCTCTTTCCTTCCATTTCCCTGGAGAGAAAGGTTGTACAAAAGCTCATTGATTAAAAAAAAAGAAAAAAAAGTTTTAAAAAAAAAAAATCCCAGCAGCAGCTGATAAGGGTAAACCAGTGTTGTTTGCAAATAGTGAGGCTACATCTCACACGCGTTTAGCTGGAGGCACATTCACAACAGCTCTTCAGCAATGCAAGAGGGTTGCTCTTACACAGGGCAAGGTGTTTTATTTCTTGGTGTAAATCTATCGTAGGCACCCAGATGCTAGGGGGAAGGTTCCAGAAGGATCCTGGAACCAACCGCTTTAAGGCCCCCAGTCAGCTACGTCCCTCGTGGGCTTACCACCCCAGGACGGCCAACGACACAGCACCCCACACTCCTAACGCCATCGGCTTTCCTTCCCCCTTCTGTGGGGCCAGCAATCATTAAAAGCAGGATGATTACTGGGGACAGAGGGGACTCTGTCCTCTACGGCTTCCCTTGGACGTGTTGTAGCTCAAATGGGAGCAGTAGCTCACCAGACAGCATTCGTGTGTCTCCCTGTGCTCCGGCACGAAGCGGCAGCCTGCAGCGCCCCGAAGCACCCACCCACAGCACCCACCAGCCTCAGCAGTGCTCCCCTCTGCAGCTGAGGAGCTGGGCATGGGGCAGTGGGTTGGGAGCAGAGCTGGGGCAAGAGCCCCAGGCACCCAACATCCAAGTCCTTCCTCTATCAGACTCTACTGACTTGCATTTTTAAGCCCTGGCTGTGATTGCCCTAAAGCTGCTGCTTCACTGCCTAGCAAAGCCCTCCTGCCCCGAGCAGCCCAGCACCCATGGGTGCTGAGCCTTTCGCAGCGTACCTGCTCTCCCTTTGGGACAGCAGGGAGCGTGGGATGCTACAGGCATTTCAAGTCACTCAGGGATGAATGTGCAACAGGAAAGCATGACCTGGTGCCCATCCATGAGTCCAGGGCACAGGAGAAGCCTGCGAGCAGCAGCTTTTGGGGTGTGCATAGCGGATCTGCTTTCAGTCCAGTTCCCCAGCACTTCTCCCCCTCCACGGGCACCTGCATGTCCCTGTTCCTGGAAAACAGCACAAATCAGCCTCTTCCCGAGTGATGCTCCAGGCTGCCCCGGCCCACCGCCTCCGACCTGCCCTGCTGCAGCTCGGCAGAGCAGCAGCGGAACGCCACCTCCACGCACACAGCCCCTTCCTCTAGCCGCACAAGGAACTTCCCAGCAGGAGAAGACACGCTTTCCTCCAGCCACTTACAACGACTGCTACCATCCTCCCAGGATACTAACACCCCCGCTCCGTATTTCTCCAAAGATCCAGCCCACAAGCGGTGTTTGCAGCTCAGCAGCAATTCATCCACCAACGCAGCCACCGCGCCGACACCAGCACCAACTCCTTCTGGACTCCAGGGTTCTGCTCAGGCTGCTGCTGCTACAGCCGAGCGCCTTCCCAGCTTGGGCTTCCCATGAAGCCAAGGTCTGATCCCCCCCCATCCCAGTCCCAGCCCTCCGCAGCAGGGACGGGGCTGCAGCGGTTGGGTCGTGTCCTGCCCTCACCTCGGTTACCCAGCCGGGAGCCCCCCATCCCAAAAATACCTGGGACAGGCTGGCAGGGCTCTGTCCCCATCTCTGCACTGGGATTGTGGGCTGGGATTTTTTGCAAGACTCAGGGAAAGCTCATGCTATCAAGCAAACGTGAGCCTGCGGAGCGCAGCAGAGATGAATTCCCCCTCGAATCAAGCAGTGGCAACCTCTCCACTCCTCCAAGGTTCCTCTTAGGAACATTAATGGAAACGTTAAAATCCCTGTATAAATAGTGATCTTTAAGAGTGTAAACAGAGTAACAGATTGAACGTGCCATTATTGATTTTTTTTTTCCTTCACACACACGCCAGGGTCAAGAAGTGTTTTCACTATTGATCCATCAATAACGCTTAGGAAACCCAAAACGCAAAACAGAACCTCATCTAAGGAAAATGCTGCCGCACTGCCGAGCATCAGCGCTTCCCAGAGGATGGGGAGATGGGAACTGGATGGGACCATGGCATATCCCCCCCTTCCCTTGCCCCGTGCTGGTTGTGGCAGCTCCCTGATCCTGCCCTGGGCACCCTAAGCCGTATCCCAGCTCTAGCAAGAGAACACACACAAGGTGAGCAGCATCGCTGGCCCCTGCAGGAGCAAATCAAGCTAAAATGTGCCCCTTGGAACGTCAGTGAATCCCTCTGAGCAGATAATTTGCAGCAAACAGCAATCCTCAGCAAACAGGGCCTCATCATGTGGCAGCAAAGCGTCTGCGAGGTTGTTATCCGAATTTAACTCAATTAACTACCATTTTCACTGGTTTACACTCCGGAGCAATAAAAAACATTGGAAATTCAATCCATGCTGTTTGCTGTTAAGAGACCAAATAAATCACCCTCCCCGGCAAGCAAGCAAACCCTCTTGGGTGAACCCTTGCAAAACTCAGCGTCCGTCTCCGCGAGCACCCAGGCAGAAAAACTGCCCCGACCCCACGGTCACAGAGAGAGCAAGAGGAGAAAGACGAGGCACAGCCAAGAAGCCCAAATAAAGCCTCAAAGAGATTCCAAAAAGCCCTCAAAACTTTCTAGAAAAAGTTGCCTGCAGGAGCTCGCCATCCTAGCTGCCTCAGTCTTACCTGGGCTCGCCTGGGGTAGATGTCCCAGCTGGAAGACATCTAGAAGCATGAGGGGGGAGGTAATGAGTTGGGACATGGCCCGGAGCAGATGAGGCTAATGGTCCAAGAGCAAACTGTATTTTTTTGGGAGCCCTGAATGGTTTGGGAGCTACTTCTTAAAGCCTGCCTGGGGTCTGCGGGAGGATCATCACAGCTTCCCTGGTCCTGGTGGAGTCAGCCAGGACCAGGCAGCTCCACTGAGGCCAGCTAGAGAGGGGCTGTGGGGTCCAGGATGGTTTTGTTTAAAGAAAAATCCCTGGGAAAGTACTTCTACAGCCCAGAGTCAAATCCCTGGTCCTGCTGCGGTTCCCTCTCCCTATCACTCATAGCTCCTCCTCATCTTCAAGAGATGGGCTGAAGGCTACGGATGCAGCAAGTGGATCACCACCTCCTCTCATCACACCCACCTCTGCCTTTGGTGGGGAGGAATGAGAAAAGATGTTTGCAGGGCAGAGCTGCCCTGTGCTGGTGGCATGGGGCTGCTGGGGGGTTCCCTGTGTGACCTTGGTCAACCGGACACTCCTGTGCCCCCTCCCAAGCCCTTCTTATCTTACCCACCGCAGGACTGTCACTCCTGAGATGTTGGTACAGTCCCCATGTGATAAAGCTCCAGGTATTAGGTACTGCTAACACAGAAAGCACCAAGTCATCGTAACATCGATCATTTCCGTCCCCGTTAAGCTTTCAGGGTGAAAATCAAGTGGGTGAGGGCAAGGTCGGAACCTCCCTGCCATCCCCCAACCCTGCTGCCTTCCCCGTGACCATCACGGGGCGAGGAGAGGGACCGCAGACACCGTGCAGAAAGCGATGGCCCCACTCGCCCGTTCTGCCCCTGAGCCAAACCTGGGCACATCAGCGCTCGTTAGTAAATGAGGAATCAGGCTCTGCCCTCTCATTCAGCCGGGGGGGTTACAGCTGCTGCCCGGGGGTCTCTCCGTGCGGGACTCACTGCACGCTCGTACTTCAAATACCTCTGAGCATCCAGGCTCATGGGGAAAAACCACTTTCCTCTCTGAGATTTTGAATGTGAGGTAGCTTATAAGGGACGTACAAGGTAACAGAGGACAGGATGGAAATGGGGGGGGGAATGCAGGAGAGGCGGCTGCTTACAGAAGTGTGGAGGCATCTAGAACCGAGCCAAAGCAATCCCACTAGCAGAGACAAGAGAGAAACAAAGCATTACCTTACCAAGGATATAAAGTGCTCAGAAGAGATCTGATCTTCCATGGAGTTACCTGAGAGTGTAATTTCATATGTGCTACCAAAATAGACTGCAGAGCAGTTAATGTGTTTAGATTATCTAAATTGCTTAACAAGAAAGTCAATAATGTAAGTAGAAATTAAATCAAGTCAGAGCTAGGCCAACAAACAGTGGGGAGATGTCTTGCAGCTGCGGAAGGCAGCGCCCTCCTTCCCCCCTTCTCCCCCCCCGCCCCATTTGGGGTCAGATGCTGGGCTTAGCTATGGCTGTGTCTCCCCACAAGAGACCCACAGGTTGCAGTCAATTAATGCTCTCCAAATGAGATGACAGATGCATCTCTCATGTTTCAGCATCGCTGGTTGCTCGGCCTGATGGAAGGGCCTCCCTGCTCCCTCGGGGAACGGCAGAGATGGGTGGGATTTATATCCTGCACGGGGCATAGTCCGGCCCAAACCGCGAACCCGCACCAGCTACGTCATGCTCTTCTCAACGGGGATTTGCAAGATGCAAAAGGAAAGGAAAGAGGGGAAACTGAGTCACAGCCTGCACACCCCCCCGCGCGCGCGCGCGCTGCTTCAAGCGGTGCGCAGAGACCTTTGCGGATGTGCCAGGTCCGGTTAGCAAAAAGATTGGACATTGATGCATAAGCAAAAGGGGTGCATGTGTTTGCTTTGCATAAGCGTTGTTTGCAATAGGCCACGCATTTACAGCATTTCACCGTCCACTTATGCAAACGCTGCAAAAAGTCACATGCCTAGGTAAAGGGCCCGATCCTGAAGCACTCACGCCATGAGCAACATTGCTCATGCAAGTAATCCTCAGCCAGGACTACTCCCAAGATTAATGTTACTTATAGCATAAATATTTACAGGATCAAACCTGGCTGGGCGAGCTCATCTCTTACAGCCAGGCCAGGCACAAGGAGATGTCCAGCCTAGCATCTCTGCCTCCAGGCGGGATGCGTGGTTTAACATCGATGGTGTTGAGCCAGTGCCACCATGTTGGTCTGAGCCTACCTAATTTTTGCATGCATGCACGAAGCCTTTCTTCAAGATTTGACACTCTGTTCTGAAGCTCTTCGTAGTCATAGGCGCCAATCTCTTCCTGGAGTTCGTTTAGAACTGACGTCAGATTCTGGACCTCCTCTTTAAACTGCAATACCAATTTTGCATCGGCTTTGTACTCTTCCAACACTGGTATCAAAGGCCTAAGTTCCTCCATTTTCGCTTTTATTGCCTGCAAGGTTAAAATAAGCTTGGTTCAGTGCTATGCGTGCAAAAATCTGCAACACTCTGCCTTGATCTGGTTGCTTCCTACGTGAGTGCAATGTTCATATCCCACAATTATTATCATTAAAATTATTTTAATTATTATTTTGGTCCAAATGATGTATTGGAAAGAACATATTAAACAGGCTGCAGAACACCAAAATATTTGGGAAAGGCCTTTATTTGTCATTTTTAGAATGCAACATCTTAGGGTTACATGCTTCAGATCACATACACAAAGAGTTCTTTTTTTTTTTTTTCTTTCCAAAAAGTAAAATAAAATAATATATATATGCATTGACAAGGGTTTCAAACTATTCATGAAATGCATCTACAATTGCATGCAAAGGAAGATCTCGGTTGTGTGGTTCAAGGTTCCTTAGTGAGATATGGTGCTAATTTGGAAAATAATCAAAAAAATAAATGCATGGTGCAAAATGCTCTGTGGCCCTCTTTTCATGGTTACATGGGAGTGAACTGCTTCTTCAGTCACTGCAGCATTGAAAAAACTTGCTTTTAAGTTAGCCCTGTAAGCAAGAAAATGAAATACTGTTGAGGATCTAGCTCACTAACCTGCCTTATATAGATAGCCATTCATAGACAAAGACTCTTACGGAACTAAAGAGAAAAAAAAAAAAAAATAAAACCACAAAAGCTCCAAACCACTCACATTTTAATGCTGGCATTAGCAGAAACAAAATGCTGTGGCTGTTATTTAAAATGGTGCTTTGGCAGCAAATTACACAAAAATTCCTTACTGTTTTTAGGCATGCTATAAAGAACATAAAAATCAAAGCCATTATCAAATTTATTTTGCAGAAACGAAGACTTTTTTTTTTTTTTTTTTTTCTCCCCTTAAATTAAATGAAGGCCTCGTTTAAAGGCACGGTATGCAGCATTTTGTTAAAGATGCTTTGCTCCAGCAGCTAATGAGTAGACATAAATATGCATGCACCTACCCGTTAATGAAGCATGGTAGCACACACAGCGTACCTGGTGCTGCTTAAACTACTGCACGGTGGCCAAGTTCACAGCGCTCAGGGCCGTGACATCTGGCTGCTGCTGCAGCAGCTCGGTGGTGAATGGGATCAGAAATTGGTTCTCAGCCTCATTTCTCTCCTTCCCATCCCCTCCTATTTAAAGTCAAGAGGCTTTTCCCTCCTGCGGTTTGCATGTGGGGAATATATTTCTTTTCTTATTTACTTGCACTTCCCGGTGCAAGCTCCCTGGCAGGCAATGGGGAGGATTAAACTCATCAGAATGGAGGGGGGAAAAAGAAAAAAGGGGAATAAAAAAGAAAAACCAAACTCATGTTTAAATCAGAAAGATGGTCCTTCTGCGCGGAGCGCGGAGCTAAGCTTAGGGTCCTGCAGAAACTGGACATAGGGAGCGGAGGGGGTGGAGTTGGTGAAAAGTTTTAAGAACCTTCTTCCCAGCTTTTTACGATGTAACCTTGGTACTTCAGTATTTAACATATCCCTTAAAAAAAAATCTGCTTTAAAACACCAGCCAGCTGGGCAGCTGCCTGGATATGAGGATGGGAATCAGCTGGGTGCCTGATCAGAAATGTCCCCAAATTTCACTAGAAATTGTCTCAATTAGTTTTTTTATATCTATTAATCCACAACATTATGAAAATTTCACGTTCCAAATATTGCTGACAGGCCTTTTTGGGCAATTTCATTTGCTCTCAATCAAGTTCTTGAAAGTCCGACCATCGCTCGCAATGGCAGCTTCATTTAAAAGGCCGATCCCTTCTCATTTGTACGACACCAGGACAAAACACACATAGCCCCTCCAAAGGTGCTGGCTCTCAAATTGGGCATTTGCACATCCTTGAGGTGTGCCGTTTACCAGCCTGAAGGCAGCTGCAATCGTCGTACTTTTGGGGTTTTTTTTGGGGGGGGGTTGATTTGTTTGATTGCTTGCCCTGTTGCTACAGCCACCCCCAGGAGGGAAGCGCTTTGGTGACAGCCCATTGCCATCTGCCATGTGCTGCAGAAATGGTAACCGAGCCCCAGTTCCTGGCTTTTCCCAAGAAAATTGGGTCCCGGGCACAGCGTAGGGAAGGGCTGCCTGGCGGCGGAGGGGAACACCCCTCACCCTGACCTCAGCTGCCCCGGGGTCTCCCTGCAGACCCTCTCTCACGCACCAATCCTACCCTGCCCTGCTTGAGGCACCCAGGCTGTTCGTGGGTATGGGAAGGCGGAGATTTATGCTATTACCCTATAGAAAAATGCATTGCCGCTGAGGATGCGATGCTGCAACCTGGATCTGGCCGTGCTTTGGATAGGAGGGGGCTGCACGGGTGGGCAGCCGCCAGCGCCGTGTACGACCAGCCCAACGGCCCCGTGAGCTGATGGGGACCGGGGTCCCAGTCCCGTGCGCACCCCGCTAAATCCCTGGCCACAGCTTTGTTAGCAGTTTGGAAAGCAGACATACCTTAAACTGCCTCGCCAGGTGCTGCTTGTGGCTTTCTTCCACTTGTTTAAATTTTGATTCCAGTCCCCTCATCTGGTTTTCCATCTTCTCAACGTACTGTAGGTCTCTTTGAGTCCGCCTGTCCAACACCTCTATCGACTGGGACATGTTTTGCACCTGTCAAACGAGAAGGGGCTCATTAAGAAGCTGTCGCTCCCCCAAGCAGCGCGGCATCCCAACGCCGAACGCTGACCTTCTCCTACCCAGGCAACAAAGCTAAAGGGTAATCAGCCTCTGCATTATTTACTAGTTAATCAGCAGCATCTCGCAGTATTATGACCCCCACGCTCCAAAATAGAGCAAATTGGTTTCATAAACATTTATTCTGCCGCGCTGCAGCGAATAACTTAACAATCACACATGCAAATAAGGGTTGTAGCCAAGGCTAAAATGCGTCGCTCGCGATGGCCTCTTCCAGAGGCTGGGATGGCCCCCGCCGTCGCGCGGGGAGAGGCCCTTCGTCGAGCAGAAGCAAGCCCGACTACGAGAAACGCTTCTGCTGAGGGGCACATTATCATTTCTTCGTCTACGCGACTGACACTTACTGATTGCCTAAGTGCAAACTTTACTCCCAGGTAGTAAAAACTTCATTATCCCAACAGCCCTACTGTTTATACGGCATCTGCCACAACACATCCAGCTGCAAGGTGAGGGGATCTTGACGCCGGGAAGTACCGCGGGAGCTCCCGCTCCGGTGGGTCCCACTGGTGCCTGCCCACTCGTGTGCGGTTGTGCCGCGTCGGCATCTTTTCTAGCAGAGCAATGCCGCATCCCCGCGGCTCCCCGCGCAGCGCCCATCTGGCCCTGCCGAAGGAATGATGCAAGAAGCTTGGCTGGGCTCGTCGTGAGAAAAAGAGCCGAAGGTGTAAGGAGGGGAGGGAAGCGATCGCTAGGCTGACCTGATTTTGAAGGTTGGCTGCCGTCTGACTTATTAAGATATTCCCTTCTCTCATCTTTTTCAGGCTAGGAGAGGGTAAATGAAGCTCTGACTTAGGCAGGCATCTAAGCACCTATTTAGCGTTAAGCAATGGGTGTAATTTAAGGTCTTCACACCGGGGACAGTTGCGTTTGTACCACAGTTTGTACATTACGGGGCTCAGCCCCGACTGGTGCCCCTGCCGCATTACCCACAGAAATACGACCGTCGGCATTGGTAGGGATGACGCCCGTGTTTAAAATGAATCAGGCATCCAAGCATGCTGCTGCATCACGGCCCTAACTAAAGGCATCTTGGTTCAAGTCTCTTCATCTGTGGGCGTCTGAGCAAAACCCAAATCTGAGCCAGCACCGTCTCTGCGGATCCGCTCTGAGACGCTTCCCAGAGCCCATGCTGCCACATCGGCTCCCGTCTCCGTCCTCGCCAAAGCCAAGCGCAGACAGGCGGAGCCGGGGAAGGAACGGTGCAAGTGCAATATTGCCTCCAGCAAATGACACTGGGCTGCTGCGACTTACCTGGAGTGACAGAGCGCGGGGACGGCGGGACACCCGCACGCAGCCAGCCCTCGGAGACTACTTGCTGAAACCAGCATAGGTCAAATGCCAACTTTGGCGTCCACATCTCTGAAGGGATCAAAATGCCCATTGCTTATGCACGATGACAAGAAAACTATTACAGGGAACTATTAAAAATGTATGGACAACCTGCATTTCAAAGGCCAACAGCAAGGAAACATTTTGTACAACCAGTACAACTGCTCCGGGGGTCTAATGGTCTTCCTCAGCAAAGGTGAAGCTATTTTCAGTCTCTGAGTTCCAACACATTGCCCAGAGATGAACCAGCACCCATCCTGACCACCACCAAGGACCTGTTCAGGGAGGTGTGAGAAGCAGGGAAGAGCAGAACAAGACCCTCTTGGTTTGAAGAGGAAAAGACCAAACTTGAGCTCAGCTCAAGCCCACGTGGCTCCCATTTAGCCGTGCCTCCCCCAGGGTACGTGAGCTCTCAGCGGACACGGCTGGGTGCTAATTTACCTGGGCTGGATGCCGAGGAGTTTGAAGACCTCTCTCTACCCCGAGGCAGGAGAAGGGAAGTCTTGGACAAGCATCACTGGTCTGCAGATATTTTTATCCTGGTAATCCAGTCTACCCTCCTCTGAGTTGAGCTGTATTGCAGAATTATTCCAATGGGTTGGAATAGGAAAGACTTGTAGGGGTCGTACAAAATTGATCTCGTTTATTCCACTAATGCCTACACCCAATTAAAGGCCAAGCTGCAAGTAATCAGAAAAGAGCATTTCTTGTAATGATATGCTGGTACGTGACCCGGCGGGGGCTGAGCGAGGCTACAGGGGCTCCTTACGCTGCCTCTTGGATGGCCGGGAGGGAGAGACAGACTCCGCTAGGAAATGAATCAGAGCATCTCGCTCAGGCTTGTGCTCTGAATCACCTCTGGAGGAGTCTGCCTCTCCCCTGGCTGCGGGGGAAAAGAGCCTCCTCACATGGCTCTAAACTGAGATGCCTAAAATTAGCTGCTGTGCTATTTTGGGGATGCGTTTTACAAGTCCAGACTCTCACGATTTGTTGTCCATGTTGTTTTCAGCCAGGCAAGATTCTGGCCAGATGTGTAAGAAGTCAGGCTCCATCATTCCTGATCTCTGGCAGTGATGCATCCTTCATCAGCTGAAGATCTACTTGTTTTCCTTCATTAGCATATTAAGCCCTTGATCCAGCAAAGTGCTTTGGCACATGATTAGATTTCAATGAGACTGTTCATAGCTTAAACTTAAGCATGTACATAAGTGCTCTAATGAACTGAGACCGAAGAATACCGCTTCTCAAATTCCCTCAGGTTCACCCACTAACTGCTATCCTCAAACACCAGCTAAAATGCTTTTTGCCTCCATTGGTGGAGCACGCGCTCTCAACATGAAACCTCATTTTCCATCACGCTAATGGGAGAGTGATACCTGCGACTGTCTTGGGGAAAAGAGTTAATTTTAGCATTTGAAGTAATAGAAAACTGACACAAACGAAATTTCCAGCGCTGTTCTTGTCATTGCTTGACACCGAGTTGTTTCAGAATTAAACCAGAGTAGTTGAGAGTCGGTTATTGGCTTGATGACCCCAGTGAGATTCATATGGTTAAAGCAATGGTTTAAACCCCGCTCAAGCTTCCTTGTGGATCAGCCTTTCATGCCAGCTCAAAAGAGCTGTTCTGAGCCCATCTTTGGGGGTTGAATTGGGATGAATCTTTGGCTTTGGGTAGCCAGACAAACTGGTGCAGCAATAGCATGAGGCATCTTCAGAGAGATTTTCGTGGTCTGTAGGAAGAATTAGCAGAGAGATGGGCTCAGATGATGGACCAGGACATGATAGTTCATCTTCTAAGGTCTGTAGAAGGCAAAGTGAAGGCTGAGAAGAGATGTCATTTTCCTCCCTATGTGCTCCTCCGAGTGAATATCAAAGGAACAAAAAGAACTGTTTAATCTGGAAATTAGTGCTGGCAAAGTGTAAGAATTGGCAGGGAACCAAAAATGGTTTAACCATCGGAGGAGGAAGTCCTCCCAGATAACAGGGCCAAAAAGAAAAAAAAAATTAAAATCTGTTTGAAGATAAAACATAATCTGTTTATGAACAGGATTTAGGTGAGGTCTTGGTTTGGGTGCAGTCCAAGAGCTGGACTCGGCACCTGACACTATAAGGCTGGAAGGACTCCGTGTGCTCCAGCCAAAGATGAGCTCAGACACCTCGGTGTCAAAACACGGGCTGAACAGTTTGTGCGGTGGCGAGCAGACCTGGCTCCCCTTACCTCGCTTAACGCCTGCTCTTCAAACTGACGGGGTGCCCAGGATTCGCTCGCGAGCAGCGTGAACTGCGGTTTCTATGCATATGCCTGCGCCCATGTGTCGAGGGTAGATGGGGTCTTGGCAGCTTTGAACCTCAAAGGACGTTCTGCTGCCGAAGCCTCTGCGCGGAGGCTGTCGCTGGAGATGCTCTCATCGGTTTGTGTACACACCCATACACGCACACTCAAATGCAGCTTATTTCTTATTACGCCTCATTATTTCCACAGGTGACTGCCAGGTCTCCTCCTTTGAAAACCCAAACACAATTACCTCTTTGACACGTTACGCTGCTTCATCTGCTGGCAGGGAGAAATCGGGGGACATGAGTTTTCCCCTCACAAAGCTAGAGTTAAAATGTCAGATGGGGGAAGGAGTTTTCAGGTTTGAAATCTGTCCTGGGAAGCTGGAAGCTCTTTCTCTGCAGTTGCGTTTTCCTACAGGGATTATCATTTCAGCCTTCGTCGAGATCAGATGTCTGGCACTAAGAGCCTATTCTTTATTTTGGGGTTTTCATATAGGTTAGCGTAGGAGTGAGATGCAGACAGATTAGCAGGCAGGTAACATATCCCCAGAACACGTCTTGAAATACTGCTCCTCCCGCACTTTATTCACTGGCAGCCGGAGAGCTGCATAAGGGAAAAACCACTGAGCCCTTGCACCCTCCGCACGGGAACCGGCGTTATCCCAGGTCTCGTACGCCCAACTCGCCTGCCCATTAACACAGGCTATTGGGTCAAATCCTGCTTGTTTAATGCGTATGAGCGGTTCTGGGAACACAAAGTCTCTCGGCCGCCCCTGTCAGCTGCTAATACGCCTGCTGCCTCTTAGACAAATGTGCTGTTGGACCGATTGCCGTTATTGCTTAGAGAAATAAAAGCTTGAGTGGAATTATTTTTAGAAGCCTCTGACATACCGAAGGAGGGTTTCAGGGCTAAATGTTTCCTGCCTCACTTTACTGTCCTCATCGCATAGGAAAATCAGTTAAGTGTAGGTTTAATATCGTTAGGAGTGACTAATACATCGAATTCCTGAAAGCAGCGGGATAAAAAATTATTTTGTCATGCACCACACATGCCAACACAGCATTAGGCCATGAGGGGTAATTACATATCCAGCACAGGAGTCCAGTTCTATTTTAAAGAGAGGAGCACCGGGTTCACATGAAACAGCATTTCTTCAATGAAATCTATTATCTGGAAAATTTCTTGTTATCGGGAATGCTTCCCTAATGAGATTCTTTGATGTCTTTGGACAGCGGACTATTAAAAACTAATCAAGTGGATGTCAACATTAGAAAGAAAACCACTAACTGCCATTTCTGTGCTGTTTGATGTCGACAGCTTGCACTGTTTTATTCGACCTTTTTAATATCAGCTCGACTAGGAATGCATGGGCTTTGGGTTTTTAATTCTACCTTCTCTCATCGTGTTGAGGCTCATCAAAGGATGAAACCACATGTGTTAACGTAATGAAAAAATGAGTAAATTACTTTTTTTTTTTTTTCTTTTTAGCAATGTGGTTCAATATTGTTGCTTTGATCTCAGCTGTTTTAACCTGACTTAGGCCATGGTCCCTTTTATTCTGTGCCTCAGAAACACTTAAGAGATTTAAACTCCCGACTGGGGCTGATTATTCCCCACCACATGCATGGGGACAGCTATGGCCCAAGGGGTCCGTCCTCCCTGGAAACCAAGGCTCAGCCCAGCTCACTCAGGCTTTTACCCCCAATGTCATGCCAAACCAAACCACCTTTCCCCAAAGGGGCCAACCATTACCTTTTCTAATAGTTGTCTCAGCTGCTTTGTCCTGGCATCGCGCGAGCACATCGTCTGTTGAGGTGCCACCACTGTGCATATACAACGTCCCTCGCTATCTTGGGCAGAGCTGTAGACCTGCCAGCTTTCCTCTGGGTTGGTAGGCAACACCTAATTAACACAGGGAAAGACGGGTTAAGTAAACGGGGGGAGGCCTGGCAGGGGTGTGGGAGGTGGAGGGGGCTGCGTGGAGGAACCAGGATGGATGTGGCAGATACTGGAGCTGTGCTGGGAGCAGACGGAGGCTCCTCCGAGGGCCCAGCTGGCAAAATTCACTTGTAATGCAAAAATATGGATTGGGGACAAATAAAAGAAGGGTCTGAAAAGGAGAGCAAGAGCTGAAGCGAGAAGGCAGCGCAAGTGGGGAAGCATGGACACAAGGAAAGGCACGAAGCAGCGAGGGTTGTAGCATGCTGGAAGGCACCGAGCACGTCGGGGTGGGGAACACGCTGCCTGGCTGCCGTTACAAAGCACTTGACTTCTCCTTGACACAGTGAGAGGATGCGCCCAAGCTACCAGCGAGGAGACAGTGTCCTGGCTGAGGGCTGAGCAGTGATCAATGTGCCTCTGCAGAGCTCTCCCAGATCTGGCAGTGGGAAAATCAGCTCTCCGGAGCAAAGGGACACCGGGAGTTACGCTTCCCCCCTCCTCTGCCAGACTCTCCTGGGGATGGGGAGGTTCACCAGACATCCATTTCCCTGCAAATGTTCTGCGGGTGCCGGGCAGTGAAAGCCCGGTGCCGTGCCCTGCGAAGCGTGCCAGCAAAGCAGGGATGCGGTCCAGAGGATACAATCCCTGTCTCCTCTGAGCTTCCAGGACACTACCATGGCAAGGGAGCCCAGCCACAACCACAGCAAGTTCCCCAGCTCCCCTCGTACCCTCCAAACCACCCTGATCTTAATTTTCCTTTGATCTCACAGTACTTTGCAAAATGCACTATTTAATCACAATCCAGCCTCCCATCACTTTGAAGGTAGCACCGTTTTGCCAGCCAGAAGGGAAATGTTCTTTCGACTATTTCAATAGATTACAAATAACCTTGCAAATACCCATGTTGACAGACACACACCGAGAAAGACAGCTAGGCAGACAGACAGACAATTTGATTCTCTAGCTAAAAGAACTGGGGGGAAAAAAAAAAAAAAATAAATGGGTCTCATAATCCCTGGTAACACGGAAAAAAAAAAAAAAAAATCCCAGCTTCATTCACAATCAGCTGAACCACTACATGAAATACTCGTCTCGAAACGGCAGAGCTGTAATACAGCTCTTCTATAAGGCACAAGCGTGCAGCCTGGAGGCGAGAGGTGCCCATTTTTCCCTGCTAAGGGAAGACAGACAGAAGGACTGGTACTCTCAGCCATTTCCAAAGTGGCAAGACCAGGCACCGTACCAGCCCTCCAGCAAAACAGGGACAGGAAACATACGGCACGACCAAAATACACCGCAACTTCTCTGCTGCATTTTCCATCCCATTAACGGGTCCTGATTAAAGGCAGGGAAGCGAATGAGACCTTGCGGGACTCGCCCCTGCTGTCCCAAGCTGCTTCGCCCAGCGACAGCGAAGCGGCGACCAGGGAAACTTTGCAACCCTTGGGCTGAGGGCGAGGGGGGGGGGGGGGCCCCGG